CTTTGTCCTTCTATGATATTTTTTAATGCAAATGAGATGGTAATTAGATGCTAACATTCATTGTCGGATTTTTTCAGGCCCAAATTTCGACTCTCGTTACGTATAAATCAATCCAACGCAACAACCAACACAAATTATTTGTGTCATAATAATTTGACATAAATTAGATGAAATTAAAATTATTGACCCCAATTCAAAGCCGGAAAAAAATCAGACGCAAATTCGACACTAACCTCTAAATATCGTCGGATTTGAATTTGATTTGTGTCTGATCTATCTGATGCAGATATGCTAACTCCTATAGTGTTCTTTTTCTTTGTATCCTTATACTTGTATTTTTTATTTCTCTAAAACTCTAACAAGTTTATGGTATAAGTTTTATAGAAATTAAAATTAAGTTTTAAATATTGTAAAATTTTTCTCTGCACCCAATTCACTCCCTTACCCCTCTTGAGTGTCACATATATATCTTTAAGTGATTTCTGAGTGAGGTTCTTGCAATAAATATAATCATCTCGACTAGAACCAACTATGATACATTGTCGTAATCATAACGCTCGAAAACGTATTTTATCATCTGTCCTCAACTATTTGATGCATTTTATTTGATTTTTGGCATTTCCATATGTCTACTTTAATTCAATTTATGATTTTTGTCTTGGAACTTAGTTCAAACTGGCCATTTTCCAAGTGTTAGACTTAAAAATGGCTTGCATGTTGATGTTTCCTTTAACGAACTACTAGAGAAAGAGAAACCATACAATTAAGTTTCAAATGCTTACACTTTTTTCTTGTTGTATTAAAACATAGAAATTGCATGTGTATTTCAACTTGTAAAACTAACAAGAAAATATGGTACTAACTTGTATATCACATATGAGGGTACAAATGAAAGCAAGTAATTCCATATCATTATCCTACATCACGAATATGAGCTATTTGTAATGCATTCAAATGAGAGCATTGCTAACATACATACATATTTGACCAAAATCATTAACTCTTTATATGCTCTTGATAGACTTTTTAGTAGTGCTGAGAAGTTTAAAATAGTATCTGAGTCATGAGATGCTAAATTAATTGCCATTTTTAACTATAAGGAAATATAAATATGTTCTATTGATCACTTGCTTGGATTACTAATAGCCTATGAAAAGCATATATTATTAAGGCAAGCAGATTCAGTAGAATGGAGAGAGGAGTAAACCATTACTCATAAAGTAGAAGAAGAGGAGCAAAGTGGATCAAAAGATAATGGCAAAATAATTTGATAGGAAATGATGAAAAATAAAGGTAAAAGCAAAACTAAAAATTCTGATATTATTTGCTTCGAGTATAATAAACCAGATCATACCAAGCTAGATTATGTGAGCTTAAAAAATGCTTGCTAAAAAAATAGTAGGAAGAGAAAGGAGACCATTCAGAAAATAAGAATAAAATGCAAACAGCTTTTTGGAACAATTCTGACTCAAAATCATTAGACATTGAAGTAGAAAAAAAAGTCACCAACTTGTGTTGCATGGTTATCAATTATCTAAAGGAATAAGATATTGAACATGCTTATGATCGAAGTAATGATGAAATTATTTTCTTACTGAAGAATTATTTTCATTTCTTAAAAATATAAAAAAGAAATGTATTGCTTTGAAAGGAAATCTGGTGCATTAAAAAGAGATCACAATACTTTGATTTAAAATAAAAAAAAAGTTAAAGGAAGAACTAAGAAAAAATTGAACCTAAAGAAATAAATCATAAACTTGAAAAAATGTTTGAAGATTTTCAAAAGGAGGAATCTAATTTATAAATTAATTTAGGAATACTAAGATGTGTAAATGATGATCTTTGAAAAAAAGTGATAGAATTAAGAAAATAAATTAGAAATCTCACATCATAATTTGCACCACTTAAAAATGCACATATAGTTCATATTCTTATTAGAAAAATAATTTCATAAGTTTGCTCAGTCATCCCTAAGATTTCATATTATTTGTGTAGAAAAGTTGTACATATTAGCATTAAATACACACATAAACCTTACTTGAATGCATCACTAAATTAAAAAAAAACAAAAAATAAAATAATCTCATCGCGCAATCATTTCCTGCATTTAAGGCACCATGAACAATTTGAGTACATAAATCTACTAACTAGTTACGTGCACAGGTGTGTCTTCACAATAGGACTGGTGAAGGCATGTGATACTTGAATAGTGGGTGCGTTAGACATTTGGTTGGAGACAAAGTAAAATTCATTACACTCGAATCATCTGGTAGCTACTAATTAATAGTTGGCCTTAAGATTTGCTCTAGAATCCCTTGATTTGTAAGTTCCCTTTTGTAATTGGCACATATTTGAATATTCAACATTGATGGTACATAAACACCGCAATTTGAAAAATTTAGCACCTAAAATGTTAAGGGAATACATAAGAACCAAACTAGCATTTAGTGAAAAGAGGAGGAAAAGAATAAGAGAGAGAGATAAAGATAGATAGAGAGAGAGAGAGAGAGAGAGAGAGAGAGAGAGAGAGAGAGAGAGAGAGAGTGAATTTTAAAGTAAGAAGCTTTAAGATTTTACTTGAAGGCGCCAAATGCAAAAGATTCTATAACTCGAGCTCCTCTCAATATGTCATATTTCTTTGTTTGGGTCGAGAATCGAGAGTTATAGGAAAAGTTACATATTGAGTTATATGAATAAGAAAATTATACACTCAGATCACTGATTGTAAATTAAATTAGGCGTGCAACTTTCTTATATAATTAGAGTTGTAATTGCCTCGATAAAAATTCATCATTCTATGTTATTGAATTTGGTGAGTACTTTATGAGCTTGGGAAACTGTGAGTAAGCTTGGTGAGTTCACTACTTCAACTTGTTGGTTTTTTGGGTTCAACAACAGTCGAGTTCACGTGGAGTTGTGAACTTCTTCAACTGATGAGTTCATGTTGAGTTGTGTGGGTTCAACAACAGTCGAGTAAGTTTATTATAAGCACAACAAGTTCACAACGAGCTAGGTGAGTTCACTACTTCAACATGTTGGTTTCGTTGAGTTTATAACTACTCAAGCTAGCTTGAGTGCATTCACACTTTATTGGGCAAGCAAAATGTCGAAACATTCAGGATTTTTGGGTGTGCATCCTATCTCGTTGGAGAAAGAGAACATTCCATTATAAAGTAAGAACAATGAGATCTCTAATCATGATCCACACAAGTAAATCGCTTTTTTTCTCGACCTCCGACTTCAAAGCCCTTGCCAATTTCATTGCAGAAAGAAGAGAACTTAACGCCAATCCGACAATCAATTTCAATAGTTATATATACCATCTCTTGGCATGCACTATGTAAATACAAATAGAGAGAAACCAATGCATTTCAAAGTAGATGGAGTTGGGAGTAGAAAGAGATGGATTGGCTTCTACAAATAGAGAGAAACCTATGGGCTTTTCAAGGAAGCATGAGTTGATTATTTCCCAAAACTAGGCATTCAAGAAGTTTTATTCTATCACTGAAAAGGTCAGAGGTAGACAGTATAAAATCTATCTATTTATTTATTATTATTATTTTTAAATAACATATACATAAGTATATCAAACCTGTCATAAATAAAATAAATGCAATATACATTTAAATTAAAAAAAAAAAACCCCCAAAAAACCTTTAAAAAGACAAGCATGTGAAGAGTGCAGTTTTTAAACATTAAGGTGGTTTCATGGCCTTACGATAGACAGTTTCTCTTAGGTAATAGGAAGGCACAATTATGCTCAAGAGGAATGTAGGGTGAATAGTTCAATAAATCATTAACTAATTCAATTCATTCTTTATTGATTAGGCTACGTAATGTGCTAATTCTGGTCAATACTGTTAAAGTACTAATTAGCATAATTAGAAGTATTTAGACTCTAATCAGTCTAAATTAACGCTATAATCACAAAGCATTCATCATATAGGTTTATTGATATTTTTAGCAACTAAACTGAATATTATGCATAGCACAATTATTCATATAATTATAGGGCTGTAAACGAGCCGAGCTTGAGCGAGCTCAGGCTGGGCTCGTGTTCGGCTCGTTCGAAATAACTCGTCTCGAAATTGGCTCGTTAAAATTAAATTGAAAAAAATAGATGTAAAGTGTGGAATTTGAACCTGGACCAAAAATATACAAAATAAGGAATTAACTACATTACCACATGAGATGTTATGATTTAAACTTAGATATAAATATATATAATATATTATTATATAAATAATATATGTAATATATTATTATATAAATAATTATTTTTTTTTTATTCGAGCTAAAACGAGCCGAACACGAGCGAACAAAGAACTGTTCGTTTTTTTCTTATGCATTTACGTAGCCACACTGACACTTTTATTCGTGTTCGGCTCGTATACTTAACGAACGAGCCGAACACGATCTGTTCGTGAACAACGAGCTTTTTTGACAGCCCTACATATAAAATACTAATCATCATTAAATTAAATCTATCCCTACTCCATATAAATAAAATAAATAGTACTAAATTAACACTAACATAGTTAGTCCATATTAATGAATTGCCTGTTTTATGATACAGTACCTAAATACTTCAATAACTTTATAGATGTGTATAAAAAATGCTATTTCCTGTCAATCTAATTTTAACAATGCAAATGAAAAACTAATACACTGAAAAATATTAAAAAAAAACAAAGAAAGCATCTTCTATTTTAATTTAGGTCAAAAAAAGAGCAACGAGATGGCAAGTTGCTTAGTGATAAATCTCAATGATACAAATAAGAACTTCAATTGCAATGGAAAAATATCTCTTTAGCTATCTTCAGCCAGGCCAAATAACAACATGACAGTGTTAAACAAACATGCCTTTTCTAATCATATTAAATCCTCTTGAAAGGCGTTCAACATTATGGTAATAGCTGTAGAATTGCATGAAACATGATAGAGATGCAGTATCATTTAAATAAATGAAGAGTTAAAATTACAACCGATAGTACTTTTCATTGTATTTCGTAAAAACGAATCCGGACAACATTTTCTATAGAACTATACAGCCCTGATATATACTGCATTACATGCATGCAAAAAAAAGTTATATATACATACATATATTACAGCCTCTTTACCCAACATTTATCCTCTTTATCCTACATCTAACTTCACATTACAAAGCAGATTGACTTTACCTTCCATTTCTCATAAACATAATTAAGGAATTGACAATGCAAGCGCATTCAACTCTACCTCTCCTGGATGAATCACCCATTAAGAAAATTTTGGGCACATCCATCGATTCGATCGCAAAACCAGGAAATCATTCTAGGTGAAGTTTTGAGGCTTACTACTGGCAAATAATAACCATACAACTGTGCCAGTCAGATAGAAGAAAATAGAAGGTGCAAACAGTGATAGCTGCAAAAGAGGTAATGGAAAGAGTTTATGTGCTAAGAAGTTTTAAAGAACCGGACCAGGTAAAAATAGAATTAAAAAAAAAATCAAAATTGAATGACTTACACCCCAAGAATGAGTCAAGTCAAGAAGATAGCCTGTGAGCGCAACGCCCACAATTCCAGGCACTGCCCCCACTGTGTTTGTAATACCCTAAGACAAATCGAATCATAGCTGTCAAAGTCTATTACAATTTATAAGATGGCTACAAATCAAATGCACTAAATGAGAAATTCTATTACACAACATAAAACCTTCTTGGATTAAAGGAGTTCTAAACAAGAAAATTATATTTACATATAAGGTTATTTCCAATCCAAAAGAATAGTTAAGGAAAGGGAATGATTTGCAGCATGACATACCAAAAGAATGCTAGCATATTCAGGAGAAATGTCTTGATGGGTGCAATAAAGTCCTACAAAGACACCAAACATGAGTTTAAAGATTAACGAAAAAGATGATTAATAAGACGCAGCGAAACAGATCACAAAAAAGAAATCATCAGCTAAATCAAAAGGTCACCTGATAGCGCACAGCTTGATAGTGCTAAACCACTAGTAAGTACTACTACAACTTCCCAAGGAGGCAGCCCTAGATCCAAAGAAGAAAGCGTCATGCAAATTGCAGGTGACAAAAAGGCAATTGTTTGGCAAATTTTTCGCACCTACATGTAATAAACAAGTTAGTAATGAAAATAGCTCCCATAAAAACACGCAAATTAACTTAAATTTTGGTTCCACTTAACAATTTACATCATTTTTATTTATGGATCATCATAGCATCCTCTTACAATTTTGAGAAGTTGGAGCACTAGTGCTGAGTTTCTTAACGCAAAATAGCAAAGTAGCTTTGGTAAATCATGTGCCATGTAAGCAATGGAGCAGTGCGGTTCTATCCATACATTTAAACCAAAGGATGTAAATTTCTGTAGTAATCACACAGCCTAGGTTCGTGAGGGCTGTATTTGAAGAAAATTGAACACTCAGACATTTGAGTACACCAGGTTGTCTGTTTTTCATCCAACGAAAGCATTGAATCAGCATAGAGACAGATATCAGTGCTACAACACGTAGTCCACTCGTTCATCAATTTCTTACCATCCCATTATTCCATGTAGTGCACTTGTTCATCAATATTTTACAATCCCCTTATTTCTTGTTTATCTCACAACTAAAAAAAGAAAAAGGTTTATCAGAAAATATGATATTAGCCACAAAGTCACGCATCATTAGTTAATTTCATTCTGACTCCTTCGTTTGAAATTTAGTTTGTTTGAAATAAGCTCGTGTTCAAAATTGTTCATGAAATCACTGTTCGTGTTTGCTTCTTAACGAACGAGCCGAACACTAGTCGAACACGAGCTGTTCGCGAACGACGAGCCAGCTTGACATCCCTAATATTAATATATTTAAATAATATATTATATTAATAATATAACTTATATTATATAAATATATAATATCTATATTAGTACATTGCTAATATAGTATGATAGTATATTATTATTATTAACTTATTATATATTATAATTTCTAAAATTTAACTTTTTTAAATATCATAAATTTGTTATATATAATTATTTAAAATTATTTTATATTTCTAACAATAACGATTCGAACACAAACGACCACATTACTGTTCATTTTTGGTTCGTTTAACTAACCGAACGAAAAAAATTTGTTCGCATTCGTCTCCTTTACTTATCGAACAAATCGAACCCGAACTCATTAACGAACCGAACACGAACTGTTCGCGAACAACAAGTATTTTTGACAGCCCTAATGGGGATGATTCTTTCTTTGCTATTACTACTGCATGCCAGATCAAAAAGAAGTTCAATAACTGCACTTCTTCCTTCAACGCAAAAAAACACCATACTAAACTTGTTATCCTTTTCATTTCAAAATTTGTTTGCACTGCAACAGTATTTGACTATGATTACAAATAAAAAAGTATATGAAAAGAGAAGAGATCATAAGGTTACAGCACTTTTCACTCTATTCTTAGCCTTCAATGAACAAAATTACTTAATATCTGAAAATGCCTTCCCACGTAAGCCTTATTCAAGGCACAAAACTCGTATTTCAAGTTTCATTTATTCCATTCTAAGACATCAATAGAGCATACTCTTGAGCGACTGCATTCTGATGAGAGCATCCAATCAATGAAATGATTAATTAGTTATTTTTATCAGTGATTTATATTTAAAAACTAAATAGGTTTTCTTAAAATGTATTTGAAATTATCCATGAGATGGATAAGATGTAATTAAGCAAGCACCTCTCTCACACTCTCTCGCTGTCACTCTTGCCCCTAAGTGCTCACCCCAATGCACATCTCCTTGTCAATTAAATCAAAATTAATTGAGATTGCTGCACTAATTAATTATTAATTATTAGTTTGTGAAGCTAATAAAATAAAACAAATTCTATTTAATTAGTTAATCACAAATAATACTAATTTATTACAATTAATGTCTTTTTAGTTGATTAATATTAATTTTAAGATCAATTAATTCTTTTAACTAATGCATACTATTTAATTAATATGAAGTAATATTAATTATTTTAAAATATAAAACCCTCATCTTCCTCCCTAAAATTCTCGAAACCCTCTCCGAACAAAGAAGCCAGCTAGTCATAACAAAATGCTCGCTAAAGAAGGGATCAATAGGAGTAGCAATGTATGAAAAAGAATTTATGAGACTTGACCAATTAAGTTAAATCCACCCAATGACAAAACTCACTAAATTTTGATGTAAGGCAAAATGGACCAGAAACAGGATTTAAGATTTTGTTAAAATTAAAATGGTGATTTATGCCTTTAAGAAGAATTTAGCAAAATTTATGCCTTAATTGTACATAAATCTTGTTATCAAACATCCCTTTATACTCTAAAATTCCTCTCCTCAAAGAATTGCAACAAATAAGAACCCAAGGCCTTCCAAATTTAACCTTCCTGCATCAGATTTCATAACAAGATGGGTAATAATAATCTTTTAAAATTTAATTAATTTAACTTAATAATAAATTTTCTTTAAAAAATACCTACTCACAATACCTGTTTCGCAAGTGTCATTCGATCATAGCTCGCATAGCCTGTGGGAAGGGGATTTATCCTCTCCCTAGTTCATTCGATCTCACCGCACGAGAGTAACGAGCAAGAGAAGAGAAAACAAGAGAGATGGACGGTGATGTTGTGAGCAAGAAGAAACCTGTACCCTAATCAAAGGAGGGCAAGATGAGATCAAATCAAAAAGGAAGAGGGTTCAAGTGTATCAAGCATGTTTTCTTTATGTCATCCACGGTCCAAGGCACGACGTGCGAAGAACAATGTCACTGCCCAACCCATTGGCTGAAGTTAACTAAGACGGATACAGACGATCGGACGGGGGGCATTAAGTTTTCTACATTTGTTTTTAATAACTAATATTTAACGATTGAAAGAATCACTAAAAAAATTAAATTAAAGCAATAAATTTATCTTATTACAGATTATAAGCGTCTTCTATAAACATTATCTATTCTATTGATCATCTTTTAATAAAATAATTACCAATGAAAAGTTAATTTAAAGTAACTATGAGTTAACCAAAATAGTGAATACTACAATAATACAAAAGAAAAAAAAATGCATGCTAGTTAGCGTTTCATAAGTCAATATAAACATTTCGTATTTTAAAAATAAGATGCTATTCAAAGAATTTCAATATATCAATAACATATTTTATCATTCTATATATGTACATCCATTACATGAGTAATGTCTAAAAATTAAACCAATTAAGGTACTTCAATATCAATAATTTTTTTTTATTTACGTGCACGAGTACCTTAGCATTCCTCTGCTAGTACCATAAAAAGATAATTTCATCATAATATACAAGCAGTCAATAAAACATATCATTCATATACTCATCTCATTCAACACACACACACACACAACAGTAACAATTGCATGATAGTCAATAAATAGCTTGTGTAAGTATTATTAATCGCAAAATGGTTGAGGAGAAATAAAATATTGCTATAGATTAAAAGTACGAGCGCTCACCTTGATGATTTATTTATTTTTGGATTTGCTATGATCAATATTCTTCATACCATACCATTTATTTTTGGATTTGCTATGATCAATATTCTTCGCTTGTCTATAATTAAATCATTCAAATAACAAACTTTAATTAATTATTCTCCATACCAATGAAACTTATTAGCATGCAAGCTTGAAAAACCAACCGTCCAATATTATGACGTCTGTCATTTCTTAGGCGTTGATGCTCAAAGACAGAGAAATAGATCATTTTCTCTCGAAGTAATTGACATGAGGCAAAGAGTACATCCACGTTAAGGGTCTGGAGAAATTGCACCCATTGTTCCTCCGTCCGTACTCTCGACCCCGCCTTCTTTCTGATGTGATCCAAGGTAGGTCGCCACGGTCAGTCAGTAGATGGACTCCATTAAGGATCGAATGGTTCAAATTGAACGACAATTGGAGCAACTTATTAAGTGACATGCCAGAATAGTCTCGAGCGGAGCAATGCTGAACAACAACATAGACGATAATATAAGTAACGTGGGCTGCAAATGGTTTTCAAACCCTTAGTTAAGATTGTTTTCGTGTTTATGTATCTACCAAGATGAATGTAATAGTAAGTGGTAGTTTATTACTTTATATTCATTAGCATAATTTGTAACTATCAATCATGGTTTTAAGATTTTCTTCTCTGAAAACATCATTCACATTTTCTAAATTTGATACTTTCTATGCAGGTGTACCCCAGTTTTACTATGGGACTTATAATTACATGTTCAATATAGTGATTATTACTCGGTGGTAAAGTTGGCGAACAAGTGTGAAAGTAATGATTTCGAAATTGTGAGTGAAATTAGAGAAGAGCATCTGAAAACTATATAGCATATTGTGAATCTTTCTAATATGTTTGAAATGTAGCATTGTCTGACACTTTTGAATTCCATCTTCATTAAACATAACAAATTTTGCCCTTATGTCTACGCAAATTTATCTTTTTTATTAAAATTGCTCATTTATTTGTTTAAAGTCTATATAAAAATAGAATTAAAGTCAAACACAACATTACAGTTTCTGTCGCAATATGAATAGCAAGATGTCTTACTTACTGATATGCTTCGACGGAAGGTTATGCGTAGCAGATGATTTCACCCAAACTTATATTGGCTGAATAAATCAAGCAATGCAACTATCACAACTAATGACATTAAATTAACTAAAAAAAAATATCACGCCAAGCTAGTTCAACACATACGATAAATTTGGTTTGTCGGCTTCCATTGAATGATGAATTTACCGCAACTCATATTGAAGATGGTGAGTCATATGAATTTCTACACTTAGAAGGTACTAAACACAATAATATTCTATGTGGAGGTTGAATCCTTACATGTCGAGGACATCAACATTAATTTAACCTCACATCAGCCTGCAGGGCAACCTGAAAGGGTGACTGAAATTTGGATGTTTGTAACCTATACATGTAGTAATTGAAGATTTCATTCAGAATTTACAATGCTACTTGATTTATAAATCATTTGACAAACAGGTCCTCTCCACGATCATTGAGCATGTACGAAATTGGATGCTCCAACCAACATGATCAAACAATAGTTGATAATGATGTCCGTC